GTGAGGCGGTGGCCCGGGTTCTCGCAGTGCATGCGCTGGCGTGCCTGCGATGCGGTCTGGCCCAGACCAGGAGTCCCACACACAGACCTGTCAGTCATTTGCCACTGTTTCCTCCCTTCCTCTCCTGCTTGCTGTCTCTCTCACGGAAGAAATACATGAATAAATTTCAAAAATAAAAATAAAAATAAAATTAAGTTTTACTTTAGAGTGCTGTGATCACCAGAGGCAGAGAGAGGGACCGTGCCTGCGATGCGGTCTGGCCCAGACCAGGAGTCCCACACACAGACCTGTCAGTCATTTGCCACTGTTTCCTCCCTTCCTCTCCTGCTTGCTGTCTCTCTCACGGAAGAAATACATGAATAAATTTCAAAAATAAAAATAAAAATAAAATTAAGTTTTACTTTAGAGTGCTGTGATCACCAGAGGCAGAGAGAGGGACAGTGAGCAATCACCCCCCAGGGCAGATGGCCATGCTGCCCTCCCTCCTCCATTCTCCTCTCGAAATTTTTTGGGCACACATGCACATACGTCCAGCGTGTTTTTCAAGCCTCCAGATCTAGGACTGAAACCATGGTGTTGGCCATATGGAATCCAGCACTTTAGCCCCCAAGCCACCTGCCGGCCCAATATAAAGTTGTTTTAAGAGCACATTGGGCTTAGAGGGAGAGATTTGACCAAAACATATTGGGGCAACTACTGAGTGTGCTCCCTACTTCCTGCTGCTGGAGACTTTGCCCTGCAGTTCGGCTCATGATGATGCCCCTCCATTGGCTGTTTCCTGCCGATGCTTTCACAGTGTGTAACGAGGGTGTACCCGAGCCTGCAGCCCTCCACAGCACTGGGCAGTGCGTTTGGAGGTGGGACGCATGTAACACCGAGGCCGTGTGGCGGAGGTGGGACGCGTGTAACACCGAGGCCGTGTGGCGGACGTGGGACGCGTGTAACACCGAGGCCGTGCGGCGGAGGTGGGACATGTGTAACCCTGACGGCCGTGTGATGGATGCGTCCCTTTGGTTCTGACTGCTGACAGAAAGAGGAAGAGTGGAACAATTTTGTCACTGACGTAAGATGGAGAGCCTCACCAAATAATAAACATAGACCGAGTGATAGAGAAGAGCGAGCAAGAACATAGCTGAGGGACATTGGCAGTGTCGTTTGTCTGTCATCCACGTTGGCATGAGGGCTGGTGTTGGCAGCTTTTCAACATTTATTTTAAAGAAAAGAAGAGGGACCAGCAGTTGGCGTAATGGTTGTCTCTAGACTCCCATGTAGTTGACTGCGGTTCGAGTCCCAGACCCGGTGGCTTAAACTCACGCCAGGCGGATTGTGGCATGGCCATCCCCCCTGGGGGGGTGATTTCTTGCTTTTTATCTCTCTTGTCTCTCTGGCAAGCGCACATACCCTGTAGCAAAAATCTCTTAAAAAAAAAAAAAAAAAAAAACAAAAGGGCCAGC